GGAATCTTAGTCTTAATTTTTTACCTTTTCTGCTGATTTAATGGGTGTAGAATGCAAAAACAACTTGAGTGTGGCAACAAAAAGAAAAGAGATATGCTTAAAACTAAAACCTCAGTCATAAAATGGCATAGTTAGAATTATTTCTTTTTCTTTTCTAAATAATTTTAGACTTGCAATTTACTAACTTAGTTGTGAGAGAATAGATTGAAATTTAAGAATTCTCAAAGGTTGGGAGGATAATACATTTTTGTCCCTCCCTTTCTTAGTTTGCATAATCATTCTGCCCTGCTAATACCTCATAAATAATGGACTATTTTATTTTGATCATGTGGAAAGACAAATAACATATTAGAGATGCTACTTGGTTTCAGTCAGTAAATGAAAGAATGGAAGTTAGAAGTATTTAATGTTTGTTTAGTAAATTAGAAAAAAATGTTGATTTGAAATCTTTTCATTTGTACCCACTTCTTAAAATAATGACCAACATTCATATTTATGATTGTTATTGCAATATTTTGTTAAATTTGTTAAGCTAAAATATTTACTGATGCAATAGGTTAATTTCTATGGATATTTTATTGATATTGGCATGAGCTTATTCAATCATTAACTTAAGAGTTAAGAATGAAGATTCATCAGAAAATTTAAATAGGAAAACTGTGAATTTAGTATGTTCTATTCTAATAGTTTCTTTTCTCACACTTCTTGTCTATAGAACTCCCTTCTGATTTTTTTGCCACCTACAATCTTCAAAAATTTAAATGCAGTGTCAATTGCTATCTTCTGTCTTCCTGGATCATGTTCTTTTATTGTCCTTTGTCCTCACTAAAGACTTCACATTCCATTGCATCTTAGTAGCTTTATGTAATAGAATAATCAGTCACCCCCATGAATGATTACACTATAGGTAGTAAGTACCTATAAAGTCAATTGTCTACAAGAGACTTGAGGAAGAGTGAGAGTGAGACAATGCAAACACGTCCGACCTTCCAATTAGTGGCACTCACTACTAGATTGACCTGTGTGTATAACTGTACCATATTTCATATTGTACTGGTTGCATACAATAAACTTTTCTTCTATTATCCACCTGGTGTTAAGTATTTATTCCCTTAGTATGGAATATAACAATTGCCTTGTTTGGGGTGAAATGATTAAAAAAAAAAGCAATGAGATAAGCTTTCACATTTGATAAGTTAATATGAAATGGGTGATATTTTCTCAACAAAAAAACAAATTGTGGTGCAGTATTTCAAAAAACTTGTTTTACTTTTGTGACTGTGTTGAGTGTTTAGCTGAGAATTCGATGTTGTTCTTTCATGAGAAAAATTTCTGTAAAGGTCACTGGCTTTTTAGAATAAGCAAAATGTCACTGCTATGTTGACAACAAAATGATAAACAACATCAGATTGGTAGGTGTATACAAATAATAATTAAATGATAAGTAAATATACAAATAATAATTAAATGATAAGTAAATATTTATCAGATATATTTAATATAAAAATGTAATGAATAAATATATATTCCGTATTCCTTTTGAAAAATACTTAGAACATCAGAAAATAAAACATTCGAAATAAAAAAAAAACTAAATATTAAGAAGTTTGTTGAAATTAATATTTATTTAAAAGATAAAAATAACCAGTATTTATATATAGGTAGACAGTGCTACACAAATATTAGGCACATTTGAACACCACACACGAACCTAATTCCATATAGACTTTTGTTATTTTCTGAGACAATGACAGTTAAGAAAAAAGACTACTGCAGAAGAGGAAAATTCTTTTCATGCTATCAAAGAGTGATTTCTCTCTCTTCCTTAATTATATATATATATATATATATATATATATATATATATATATATATATATATAACTGGTGTAGCTCAGGCTGTTGCTTTGGATATCTTGAAAGCATTTGACAGAGTTTGGCATACTGATCTTATTCATAAGTTGAAAGGCTATTGTATTTCCTGAAAAATTTTTGAACTGATTTAGTCTTTCTTATCAAATCATGAAATGAAAGTTGTTCTGAACAGTCACTCTTTTAGTTCTTTTTGTACTAATGCAGGTGTCTCCAAGGGCCCTGTCCTTGGACCTACTTTGTTCTTAATTTTCATCAATGACCTTCCTGATGACATCAGTTCTCAACTTGATATCTATGCTGATTACACAACCATTTAGTCTGATCAATTGGATAAGCTCAAATTGACTGCTGATCTCAAGAATGGTCTATGGTCTGTTGTTAACTGGGGCAAGGAATGGCTTGTTAATTTTAATTCCTCTAAAATGAAACTTTTATCAATCACCTGAAAGATCCCTTCCTACTTCCCATCAGCATGGCTGATACTAACCTCAATAAGAGTGAACTGTTGCACCTTCTTGGTCTTACATTCTCACCTAACTTGAAGTGGAAAGATTATATTAAATTTAATTTTAACATCTCCAAATGAAACGACTCTCTTTTAATTGTCTAAGAGACCCCTTTTTGCTTTACATCAACATGGTTGACACTAACCTTCTGGAGAGTGAATTTTTGCACCTTCTCAGTATAATGTTTTCTACTGACATGAAGTGGAAAGATTATAGTAAATTGTTAGGTCTACTGCTAGCAAAGTTGGTTCATTGTCTTATGCTATCTTACATAATTATAAGTCTACCATTCATCCATGCTTCAAATATTACTGTCACATACAGTTCAGTGCTCCTGATGCATATCTGGAGATTCTTGATAAAATTCAAGGAAGAATCAGCAATATTATTGGTATTTAGTCATTTTCTCACCACTAATGTAACTTTGCTGTGCTTTTTCTATAGTTTCATGGTAGTTGTTCAGATGAACTCTTCACTATGGCATCTAGACTTTATGAATTTAAGCACAATATTAGATTGGTGGCAAGTTAACAGTTGAATTGGTTAAATGTAACTGTAAGTTCTATATTAACAGTTTCTTTTCTTGCACTTTGTTGTGTCGGAAACCTACCACCCCTCTTGAAGATGAACTTGTCTGCAAACAAAGACTTTAAATAGTGGCATGTCAGAAGATAGATAGACAGAGAAGTTCTTAGCTGAGCTAGTTATTGACTACTCAGGTGATTTCTGTACCTTTTACCAACCTATTAAAACCCTTTTTATTGTTATGTGTTATTTGGCGTTTGTCTCTACTAACCCCAAATCAACATCATAACACACTTCTTGATTGTGGAACTCTCTTTTGGCTCCATGCTATCCAGCCAACTTTGATCTTCAAAAATTCAAATGCAATATCAGTTGTTATCTACTGTCCTCTTGATTCCTCCTTTATTGTTCTTGCTCCTTAATAATGTTTCTCTTTTTCCTTATTCTTTCACACTCAGTAACCCCTTGTGTCTTAGTGGCTCTACTACCTCGTGCTTAGGGTATGATTATATAAATATATATATATATATATATATATTTATATATATATATATATGTAAGTGGACAAAGAAGTCAAAAACCCAACTATGCATGAGCATGAAACAGATGGTCGCCTGTGGATATTAACTTCAATATCTATTTTTATATTGACATACACTCTATCTCTGCTATTGAGCACTTTAACCCATAAATATATATATATATGTGTGTGTGTGTATATATATATGTATATATATATATATATATATATATATAAGTGGACACTGAGGTCAACATTGAGCTGGTGATAGTCTGTTTCGTGCTTGAATGCAATCATGGCCTGAAGATTACATTCAAGCATGAAACAAAAGTTCCCTGATTGGTGTTGATCTCAGTGTCCACTTTTATATTTACATACACTCTTTCTCTGATACTGAGCACTTTTACCCATGAATATAGCATACCTTAAAAATATATATTTTTATCATATATACACACATACATACATACATACATAAATACATTTATATATTCTTTTTCTTATGTATATAAGAGTGCTCTATTTTAAATACTTTTAAAACAGCTCATATACATATATATGTGATTAATGGACTTTATTTTTGATCTGATATGTTTTTCTTATTATGTAAAAGTTATATTTTAGTTGATACACGTGTTTGAGTAGACACCATATGTTTTTTTAAATTACATCTACCAGCCTGTACATTTGTGTATGTTAATATAGAAAAAGTGCTCTTCAGGGTTTGAACCTGCATCCTTATTTATAGGAGAAACCACTATCTGATCTGGTATGCTTTAGACTACTTGGCCACAAAGTGTATCACAGTCGAACAAGTTTCAATTACTCTTTTAAGAAATAAACATTTTGCTCATATCTGCTTAAAAATCCATATGTGCTAACTTAATTTTTAAACCTGAAATATAAGCAAAGTAATTCCTAAGTGATTAATGAACAGAGTTGTCTAAAGCACACCAGATATGACAGTTGTTTCTCTTGAAAAGCGGGGTGCAGGCTTAGGCAATGTCAAAGGACACATTTTCCTTGAGTGTAAAATAAAAAAAAAACAATGATAAAAACAGTGTTTACTCAGACATATGTATCCACTAAAAAATAAAATTCAAGTAATAAGAAACATATATATGATAAAAGTATAGTTTTAAGGTATACTATCACCAAACAGTGATAGTCTGTTTCATACTTGATCACAGTCTTCAAAATTAAGGACATCAGTTTTGTGCATTTGGTTTTCTTTTTGTTCAACCTTATGATTCCATGTCAGATGATTCCAATATTTGGTTATTACAGTGAAGTGGATTCATACTGCTTTTTTTCCCACCTCATTATAGGCCTGAAAATTGCATTCAAGCATGAAACTGTCATTACTCAGTGTTCACTTTAATATATATATATATATATATATATATATATATATATATATATATAAAATAAAAAGAGAGAATGAATATGTGTATCTAGGCAATAAATGTTCATACAAGTTATGCTCATTAGATTTTTTTGTTTAGTTTTCATACTTTGGTTTTGAAGATGTAATGGAAACATCATTGGTTTATGTTAGTTCTGGGCTTACAGCCACTGATATTGAAGCACTGGTTCCCATATGATCACTGAAGTTAAGCAACATCGAGCCTGGTCAGCACCTAGATGAGTAACCACTTAGGAATACCAGGTGCTGTAAACTTGGATATGCAGGTCTTGTAATGGATAATGGCTCAGAATTGTTAATGTGAGCGTCAAGTTCCAGATGTGTTTGTTATAATCATTTATGCACAAAGACCCTTGGAAAAGGAATGAATTCATCTCTTTTCCCACACCAGCTATGAGTTAATTAGTAAAACTTGTAGTACTAAAATCATTATTATCTCAAAAAAATTTGCATATAAAATATTTCAGCATTAAATAACTCATGAAGGTTGATATGCTGCTAAATAAAAACATATTAGTTCTTGTTAAGGTTCCAAACTTTCAACTAACTTCTGATGTTATCAAGAAATGAAGAAATTGATTAAATTTAATGTCTGTTTGGAATAATTTTGACTTTTGGCTGTTGTCACATGATGTTATGTTTTTTTTATGTTAAAACTTGCATGACCATGATCTAGTGTAGATTCTGAGAAATTAAATACATTTTGACCGCTTTGTAGTGGAATAAGGGTTAGCAAAGCTGGTCTGGTTGATAGTTATTATTGAATAGTGGGTTCAATTCTCACTAGGTAGTCACACAAAACTGACCATTAGATAACCCAACAAGGATTAGCATATCATAAAATAAAGAAACATTATATTTTATGAAACTAATCTGCCAATAAGAAAATATATAATATATATCACTTGTCTTGTGTCTTTAACAAAACACATTTGAATATACATCTCTATATATAAGTATTTAAAATTTGCTGTATTTATGGGAGAAAAGAATAAAGTCTTTATAGATATAAAAAAACACTGCATGGGGACTATCATTTTCATGCCTGAAGTAACTATTGGACTATGTGTTACTACTCTTTGTGTGAGCTATATTTATATACGCTACTTCTTCCATTTCCCATAGTCCTCCAGTGGCCTATATATCAAAACCATATAAACAGTATTAACATGTGATCTGATGATTACATAAGGCATGAAACTGGGAGAAAATAATATTGAATGTTCTGACCATAAGTTCTGGATTCAAATCCAACCATGATAGATTTTTGGATGCTGAGGATATCATGGACCAAGCGTTTGAGCAACGATGAGGTCTTAGAGAATTTGCAAACAAGGAGGAGGCTTATACTTAACATCAGGAAGAGACAGCTGAAGTTTCTGGGACACATAATGAGGAAGAAGGGCTTGGAGAATCTGATACTCATGGGTCGAATAGAGGGGAAGAGAGACAAGGGAAATGGATGATAGAACGTAGTCTGGGGGAGGAAGCAGAGGGAAGGAACTTGTTGAGAGCTGCAAGGGATAGATTGAGGTGGAGATTCATGATTGCCAATGTTCTGGAAAGACATAGCTCATAAAAAGAAGAAAGAAAGAGGTGACTTTGTGATATTATCAACCTGGGGTGATGATCCCAGAATGAGACATGAAAAATTTTTTTTTTTAAGGCAATTCACCCCAAGCAAGACGGAAGTGCCACTAGCATGCAAGGGGTTACAGAGGATTGAGAAAAAGAGTAAACAGGCATGTTTGAGGAAAGAATACAGAAAAGGGTGGAGAACAAGCTCAGGGACATTACACTTAAATATTTGAAGATTATAGTCATTGGGGAAGCAAATAAGGGGAAGGTAGTTCCACAGATGGGAAGTGCAGAAGAAGAAGCTGCTTGAGAAGAAGTAACAGTTTCATTTAACCATTTTGAAAGTGAAAGGGTGAGACAGAGATGCTAGCCTGGTAGCACGTTTAAATTTATGCAGTCTGGGAACCACTGAAAGTAACTTGTCGGAACAGTTGTCGTGAAAATACTTGTAGAAGAGACAGAGGAAGGCCACACGAAAATGGAAATAGATCAAAGAACACACAGGGGTCATTAAAAGATAAGCATGCAGATAACTACTCCATCATTTCTCGAACCAATCTTAATTGTTTTGTAACCCTTCATGCAGAACTTTTCACCGCCACTTCAAGAAAGACATTTGGATCACTAACACAAAAAAGAGAATGTCTCATATCAAGAATATTTAATATCGAAAAGCATAAAGAAAAAAATTAATTATTTTTAATAATGTGTGGAAATCTCCACCCTTTGTCTGATGATGGTTGCGAGACCAGAAATATATATATATATATATATATATATATATATATATATATTGGCAACATATTTTCATTCATGCATGTTTGGTTAAATAATTTAAATAATAAGATGAGAGTGAAAGTACTTGGGAAAATAAAAATTATTTGAAAGAAAATTCTGGAATTTTTCTTAATCAATTTTCTACAGCCACTAAGAAATTAATTCATGGACTTGAAAGGATTAAAACTAAAATAAATGGACATAATAGGTCTAAATTATTTAGAGGAATGGCATTAGAATCTATATCTCTAAAGTCAACTCTATCGTTAAGGTAGGTATATGACACCTTTATACTCTGGCCACACCAGGAAGATGTCCAGGTTCTACTAGACCATGTGAACTCAATAAGACCTTTGATACAGTTCACGATGGAAAAAGAGAGTAACAACACATTCCCATTCCTGGATGTTTTATCTTGAACAGAGCATGGGTTCAAGACATCCATATACTGTAATCCAACATTCACTGGACAGTACTTCAATTTCAACTTCCAGCATCCATACAGCATAAAGGGATTGTCCACTGCTTACAACACCGAGCAAACGTGATAAGTGGCGACCCAGGGACATTAGATAAAGAATTGGTCAGTATAAGTAGTACCCTACAATGTAACAACTACCCTGGGTACATGGCAGCAGCCCCAAAAAACTGGGATAGGTGGGTACAAGAGGAGGACAGCAACACTCATAAAACAGTCTGCCTGCCTTATGTGTAGAGGTTATCAGAGAAAATACAAAGGATCTGTGGTCCATATAACATCAGGACAGCCTTCAAAAGCTGGACGATACTTTGCAGATATCTCTCCTGAGTAAGACCTCCTCCACAGAGGAGAACATGACTAAAGACTGTGTGTACACTATCCTATACAGCTGTGGAAAGAAATATAAAGAGGAGACAGGCTTAAGGTAAGGCTTAAAGAACACAAGACGGCTGTAACACAAGGGGAAGTGGAAAAATCAGGTGTCACTGACCACATGTGGAGAAAAAAGGGAGGTCACTGACCTCTGTGGGATCAGGTTGAGATCATAGACGAACAACACCATTGGAAAATTCATAAACTTAAGGAATCAGCACATATGCTAGGCTACAAAAATCTGAGCCAACCAAGCATAGAAATAAATACAATATAGGAACCAGTAATAAGGAATGCCAGAGAAAAGTGATAATAACAAAAAAAATGGAGAGGGGAATTAACAGGAGATAACTGACATCCATTAAACATTTTCAGTCCACCACAGTGAATGAAATAAAGAGTTCAGTTCGACATTCTAACCACCTGAAGAAGGCCGGAGCGTACAACAGCAAAAACGTTGTAATAAATATGGCAACAAAGATGAGGACAATAGTTCGAATAATGTAAATAGAGTACATAATACCTCATCTTGGAAATATAGACAGATACTGATATATATATAATTAATGGGATGTATTTAATAACAAAAGTGATAAAAACATATACAAAAAGAAACTAAATGAAACTGGTTAGACTATATATCCAAAACATATATTTAGAAAAAGAAATTTTAATTTAAATTTTAAATTCTTAGCATCCCCTCTCCTTCATGCACATATGTAGTCACATCAATGTAAACATGACTTTAGTCCAATGAAATCCTAAAGGAAGAAACACAACACATGAAAACTTTTTCCACTTTGTCATAGATTTCCCTAAAACAGATTATTATTATAAAGTGATATTACCTAACAAACACAATCCTTATTCAATATATTTAAATCTTTTTTTATATTTTGTTGTCTTTGTTTGTTATTGCCAAATCCAGTTGTAGACTTGATCCTTCCTGAACTTTAATAATTGGATGATTACTGGTCATTTGTGCAAGTGACTAGTGTCTAGCTAAATATTTTTGTTTTCAGTCAACATTAACTATTTTGGGATGGAACTTTTCCAAATATTATCTCAGTTCCCACAAGTGACAGCCTATTTTTCAGTTATTCATGGAATCACAGTCTGTGAATATCAACAATTCTGACATTATAAATATTGGTTGTTTTTCTATAAATCTAAGGTAGCAATCACTTCTAAAATAGCACCCAAGGAAAATGGTTTGGTTTATCCAATCAAATGAATTTCCAGTTGATATCATTGACATCTTTGCTGTACTAAATGAGAAACCAAAGTACCACATTCTTGCATAGTTACAAAAACATTTTGAATATCTATAAGTAAATATTTAAGTAGATATCAGTTGACTAACTTTGTGGACATTGCCTGAAAACAATGTTGGTCTCTTAGTTTCAATGTCTATGATTTCATTACTCATGTTGGCTAGGTATGATTTATTGATTTTTTCCTATATGAAATAAAGAACAAAGTAAGACATCCAGGCAAGTGGAACTCTTTAGCAAGGAATGAGATACATCTGGATTTAGCATATTTTTAATTAAGGCTTTATTATTATCTAAATTTGAAGAGGCTATTTTGCCAGTCCTGGTAAAATAGACAAATATGCTTTTAAGCTTAGTTTACTGGTCTCAGTAAAATAAAGATCCCAGGCTATTTTTCCAGTAAATATTTTTATTATTATAAAGGCAGGTAATGTTAAAAATAACAACACACAGATTTAACAGAGACATTTATTTATTTTCACTGTCAATTGTTAAGACAATTTAAAATATTTTTCACTATCAGTTGTTAAAACACAAGTTAAAATCATTTATTCATCATCAATTATTAAAAAAATATAGAAGTATTTGAATATTTTAAGCACTTCAGGCATAACAGTCTTTGCAAATCCCACACTTTCCCTTGGGCATGATTCTTTTGTCAATATACTTCAGGTGCACCCACTGAAGACAATAGTCACATACAGAATCCATATTGATATTCTTAGTTCTAAAATACTATTTGTATTTACTGACAAAATAGCCTTGGTGTC